ACATTACACTTCAAACAGTTACTTTTGTCAGGTATTTCCCAGGATTCATTATAATTTGTTAAGTAAGAGAAAAAAAAAATTTAGTCCAATAATTTGGCCATCTCTGTAACTCACTAAAATTGGTTCATTTTTAAGAACATAAGCCATTTTAAAGATAAAAAAACAACTACATCAACAATATCAATTTATCTCGCTGAATATATAATGATGTTCCAAAACCTTTTCAGATTTAAATACTTTAACTTTCACATCTTTAATGGTGCATTGTCCTTAAAATTCACAAATTGTACAGACAATTTTGTAGAATCAATATTTAGATAACATTTCAATTATTATAAAAATGTTATCTTCCTTACAGCGTTCATTTCTTAGTGGTAGTTGGTGGTTTCATAGTGGTGGTGGTGGTTGTGGCGGTGTGGGTGGTAAGGGTGGGGGTGGGCAGGCCAGGTGGCAGCAGCAGCAGTAAAACAGTAACAGCCATAGCAGTAGCAGTAAGAATTGCAGCAACGGGAGCAGGGGTAGAAATGAAATATTGGGTAAAGATCATTCCATCAAGGACAAAAATGAACAAAGAAGAAAATAAATCATTCATTATAATATATTACTCTTTTATGATCAACTAAAATAAATCTATGTATCAAAGACTCCCTACAATGGAGTATTAAGTACTTCAAGAATATTTTTGCTATAATAAAATGAGTCAAGAATTCAAATTCTAGGTACATTCGTATGAGGTATGAATTGCAATACCTTTCTCTTTGCAGAAGAAGGCAAGCCACGAACTGGAGGTTTTGGCCAATCCTTTTCAGTAAATAAAAATGAAGGAACCAAGTCCAAAGAATATTTTAAGTCTTCTAGTGGGTGCTGAATTTTTAAAGTAATGGCAGGACCTGAAGAACTTTGCTTAACCTGTCAAATACAATATTTGTGAGAATACTGTACTGGAAATATATTCAATAGTTTACAGAAAACATTGCAAGCTCAAAGAAAACTTATCACAACATACAACTCAATAAATTAATTTGCCTTAAATGTAGGTTTACCATATTACAATTTTGTAAAAAGAAAACATTTTTTATAAAAATGAGGACACTTCATATAAAAGGTTTGAATATAATTAGGGCTTTTCTTTTCTTTGAACCTCACAACAAACGCTTTGAACTTTTCTTTTAGTATGTCATTAAATAAGGCTTTACTTTTTGACATCATGCTGAAAATAAAAGCACCATGGGTCAACAGTATTAACACAACAGAGAACAGAATCTATACCCTGCACCAGCATACAATACGTTGTACTGTTGCATTTCAAGGAGTATAGTTGATCTATAGATTTTGGTGGTTGTTAGGTGAGATAGTTGAAATTAAATGTCATTTATTTATACAAATGTTATACTGCATAATTGTTATATTCATGTCGGGGACACAAATAAATTGAAGAAACACAGTACTTTTGCACATCTTACTGTATGTCTGCATTAAAGTAATACCTCTTTCAAATAATAATAATTTTTTTTAAAAAATATTTTTAAAAAATGTCCTTTCTTGTAAAATCCTCGTGTACAGTTTTTCTTGCATAAAAAAAAACAACATATCTGGCGAAAAGAGGACGTAAGGTAACCCTATGCAAATGATGCCAGCACCAAAAAGTATGTCTTAATATTACTTAAAGCATGCTTATCATTTTCATATCATGTATTTAATGTTCATTTTGGTACATACTCAAAAAACCATTTTTTTATCTAATACAAAATTTTATTTTTAATGTTTAAAAAAATTGGAAAAACTAACCTTAAAATTAAAGCTAACACAACAAATTTCTAATCATCATTTTCTAAATATTTACATTTTATTTCTTAAAAAAATTTATTTTTATAATTTAGTAAGACAATTTATATTTTGAAAACTTTTTAATGGAAGAAACACACACAAAAGAAAAGGAAGGTTCAATATTAAATCACTTGAAGAATTTTGAAAGAAAATAAGTACTTGTATTGAGTAGATCGGCAGATTCATATAAATACCTCAGTGCCTTCAACTGATATGGCTTTTAAAACTTTGAATACTCTTCCTTGCATCCATGATTTAAATTTATCTCTCATCAAAAAGCCATTTTTGTCAATCCACTTCTTTATTTGTTTATCACTGCAAACAACAAAATTCTTCATAAAAGGCACAATTTAGAAAAAAGTAATTTCTCCAAACGACTTTAGAAGAGCTTACAGGAGATACCTTGCTTCTAGAAATATCACATTTTGTATTTTTAATCATTTTGTAATTTACGATCCTGAATGTTTTAAGTCTCTCTACATGAAGAAAAAAATCAGAAATGAACAAAAATTATGTGTTTACATTTTATAACTGCTTTTCAATCAAATTTTCAAATAATTTCATTTTTTTTAAACATAAAATTAAAAGCTGTATAAATCGAGTTGAACCCAGGCAAACATTCCGCACATTATAAATCATTGTTTTGAAAGTAAAGGTAGCTTCATACAGGCAATCAACTTCAAATTTGTTTGTACAACCTATTTCATGGGAAGGCATCATCTTCCTTGCATTATAATGCAGATTTGCAAACGTCTTAAGTGCTAAAAACGGATGGCAAAACTATGTAAATTGTTAATATAGTATAATATAGTACGAAACTTTAAAATATATTACGAAATAAAAAGATAAAAAATACGAATATTTTTCTTCACAAATGAAAACTAAAATGAAAAAATTAAAAAAAAAAAAAAACATATTGTATAGCATGAAACTTCACATAGTGCATATAACTTGAAATCATATTTAAGCTATTTAAAAAACATAGAGATTTAAAAATGAATTTCAGAAAATTTAACAACCTATACGTAAAAGTCAACCAAAAATCCATAAGTAGAGATTTCAATAAATTAAAAATTATACTCCTTACTTATAAATTTATTATTGACTTTTATTTGAAGGATTTTTAATTTTTGTGTAATTTTGTTTTATCTTTATGTATTTTATAAATATCCCTCTGTGCTGAAGTATTGAGCAGACTTCTGACCACAAGTTCACAAATCGCCAACGTCCTCTACCCTTCAAAAAAGATAATTACCTCTGTCCACATAATTACACAGTGTTCGTTATATACTCCTTGTTTATACGTGTACATTCTCTGTAAAACTTTATGCATAGATGAGAAAATTCAGAAGGGATAAGAAAATATGATGACAATTAACAATAGATGACATAAGGTGTAAAATGACATTACTATAGGTACATACAGACAAACATTTAGAAATAGAGATAAAAATGCAAATTTGTGAACGAACTGTTCTAATTCTTCACATCAAACTGGAAGTTTTTAACATTGTAACACCAGAAATGTAAGTTAAATCAATTAAATTAAGAAAACTATGCACTACATGAGCAACCTTAACATAAATGAGGGCAATTCACGATGCACTTTTCGCTTTTCTTTCTAACAGTATACTTACAAAGTTGGTACTTCATCCCTCTTTTTTTTTAGTGCAGGGTTCTCCAAATTAAGCTTAAGTTTCACATAACCTGGCTGCTTTGTATCGTAAATAACCTGAAAATATTTAGAAGAAAATACGTTTTCAGAAGAATTACAAATTTAAAAATAATAATTTCCTATAAATTATTGCATATTGTACACACATGCACAGTGCACTCACTCACCCACACACGCAATCACTCATAATTACTCACACACATGATCCATGATTTTCCTTTTCTGTAAAATAACAATTTCAGAAATTGTTTTAAGAGTTTATCCCAGCCATCTGGAAACTGCATAAATGGTATAACATAAAATCAATTGTATTTACTACTGCCTGTATTTACCTGTACCGTTAAAGTTATAATTTCATTCTCCTTGTATGATTTTTTTACTAAACTTGCTTGCACCTGCTTGTAAGGTGTTTTGGTTTATGACAGAAAGGCCAATTCCCCCACTCCCTCAATTTTCAGGTTTTCTACAGGTAGAATTGAAATATTTCTAAGAAAGGTACACAAGAGTAAAATCTCATCTTGTTTGAAAATTTTTGTTGAAACATTTGGAACCCATTTTAAGAAAATGTTAAGTGTTAATGTAAATGCAAAATTTGAAGCTCTTTTTCACAGAAAACTATTGAGTTTTCGAGAAACTTCATTAAAAATCATTTGAAACACTTTTTCACTTGATCATTTTTTTAATAGTCCTCTTTCTAAGTATTGTTCAGCATTGCTAAAAATATAAAGGTATGGTTCTCGCATTATCATCAGCCCACTTACATAACTTCCTGGATAAATTCATAGATTCCTATCAAGATTAAAGGTTAGCTTTTATCGAGAATATTATAGTTGCTCCCCCCACCATAACAAAATTTAATCAAACAAGATTAGCCATTTCTTTGAAAATTTTGAGAATGTCCCAGGGACTTCATGTAACATATCTCCAAAAATCAAAATATTGATTTCAAATTCAAGGACAGCCAGACATCAGCCAGATCAATTACAGAATATCAATTTTAGAGAAAATCAACTTTTCAGTATCTCAAAATATTCCTGACCCTCAAAATATGGATTCTGGCTACACCATGTGTTAAGAGGTACATTTAGCAACTGGATTTATCAACTTTGCTCGTTACCAGGACTCTGTTGTAAGGGTTTTTCTGCCAAAATTTTGTTGTTATTTCACGCAGCATTACATAACTTTCCTCTCTATTCCTTAGCGAGAAAGTAAAATTCAAAATACAATATACAGCACCTCAACTATACCATATGGCCACTAGAGCTTTAAACGATTGGATGTTGGTGCATTTGGTCTCAATGATGTCTATCACATTTCTCAGTGATAAAGAAGGTGTATTACGTAGTTATAGTCTTCATTATGAGAAAATTAGTGTTAGATAGGACACTAAAAGAACCAAGTAATAGTAATTTGATATAATCTTATATTTGTGTGGCCAAACTGATGCATGTCAAGGTAGGTTAAGAATTTATAGAAGGTACAAAATGTTATGTGTTATTTATACATTGTACCATACTTTGGTTGATCTTGCTTGACAGTTGGGCTCAGCAATAGGCAGCCAATTTCACTGCCCTTTCTATGTCAGCTGCAGGATCTTCATGGGGCAATCCTAAATAGATACTAGTGCATTCTATACCTACTTCGATATTTTTCATTCCCTATACTGTCTGATACTTTAAATGAGGTGAAATTTTGGTAATGAGCATCAGAAATGAATGGCCAAAAGCACTCAGGCTGTTATCCCCTTCATTTATTTATATCTAAGTTTGTGGCGACTAGGAGTATGGGCAAAGTTGATTTTGCTTATCCGCTTGTTTATGTTTCTTGATAACTTGGATCATAGACAAACTATGTGCTCTGTGATTGGGACTAGAATGCCCTGCCAGGAAAGGGTAGTCCTTTCTCATTTTATGCGTATTCACATAATT